TTTTTTTTTTTTTTTTTTTTTTTTTTGTGAGCCAGGGTCCCTCTATGCAGTCCTGGCTATTCTGAAACTTGGTATGTAGACCAGGCTGACCTTGAATTCACAGAGATTCACCTGCCTCTGCTTCATGAGTGCTGGGACTAAAGGTGTGAGCCACTATACTGGGCAAGAACAGGGTTTTCAACAAATGTGGCCACAGGATAATTAAAAATCTAAATCCAAGGGACTCTTGAACCTTATGTTAAACTCCACACAGAAGTCAAATAAAACTGTATGACAAACAACATGGTTATAACTTGTTAAAAGCTGAGCAACTTAAAATATAAAATGGAAAAAAATCACCAGTGATGGTCCTAATTTACAGTTAATACCCCCAAACAAATTTTACCTGAAACTTGTTGCATTCATTATTTTTCTGATCATATAATCTGTTGTAATGTTCTTGCAACTTAGCATGAGTTTTCTTAAGTAATGACAACTCATTTTTAATATCATTCATTTCTCCACTAAGTTCTTCAACCTAGGATAAAATTAAGCCAAAATGAGCAAGTGCATATATATTACCTGAAAATTAATGTTTTATGAAATAGTAAAAATAATAACAAAATTAACTACTTGAATTAAGAAATAACATTGTAATAGTGATGAGTGTTTAACAAACATGATTGTGTATTCATACTCTTTGAGAAATGTGAGACTTAAGATTAAGTAACTTGACCAAGTTAGTGCAGACAGAAAGGAGCAGTCACAATTGCAATCCAAAATTGAACCTAGGGCCTGTGTCCCTAAAAACCTTCCATTGCAATCCAAAATTGAATCTAGGGCCTGTGCCCCTAAAAACCTTCTTATAATTTTTTTTACCTTAGTCATAAAATCCTACAAAAGTTCCACGTGTATGATTTTAATCTTCATCGCTGCACACTGATATGCAGAGTTTAGCTGAGATAGCTGGAGATGCAGAATACTAAGTACTCTGGTACCTGAGTCTCACGTTTCCATCTGGAAACTGGGTTTCCACAGCATGTGCAGCTCACAATCGATTTCTTGTGGTGGCTGGGGGTGGGGGGATGCTCTTCCATAGAAACTTCACAAGTGATTACAAACACATAGACACACACAGACTATACAGATCTGCTCTCCAGTTAAAAATATTCTTACAAAACCAAAGTGGCTTTCTCTTATTCTGCTTAGTTTATTATAGTTTTGACTTATGATTATAATTATGATAGTTTATGATACGTGGTTTATGATAGTTTATGATTGCATAGTCTACAAATTTTATGGTAAACTATTTTATTTAAACTTACAAATTATAGTTTTACCAATAAAGTTGTCTTTCCTTTATTAAAAAATGTATTATTTAGCTGTTTGTATGTGTACTTGTGCACATGTTTGTGTTCATGGAGGCCAGAATTGGGCATCAGAAACCCTGGTTGTTAACCTTCCAGTACGGGTGCTGGGAACTAAGCCTGAAAGAGGACTCTTAACAGATCTGCCATCTCTCCAGCCCCATTTCCTCCATTCTTAATCATTCATTTGCCCTTGGAAGATGGCCACTATTGTATTCTCAGAAGAGAAAATGAACATTAGTTTGCTTTGCTTAACTGCACAGGTGGTGGAAGCCCAGTTTCCAGATACAAACATCTGTACACACACACACACACACACACACACACACACACACACACACACACCAGTTTTTGCAGCATGTTTGTTATATTTAATTTGAAGCTCCTGGAATGCACTGTACTTGTTCCTTGATGATACATTTTCCTGGTGGAGATTATTAGCCAATTTTTAGTATTGTGATGTATGAAATATTGTAATCAATTTTAGTATTGTGATGTAAGTATGAAATATTTTTCTTAAATTTAAATAAGGCATATAAAAACCAAAAATGATCAAGTTGATCTCTTGAAACTCTGAATTAGGAAAACTTATTAGCTACAAATAAATTGGGTTTTCTATATCAGAAATCAAATAAAATAATATACAGAGAATGTTATAAACTTACATTTAGATATACATTAGTATAATAAATAAAATGGTATAATTAGTACAGTAGTTTAAAATAGAATCATATATTTCTAAATTATAGTTCCATAAACTCAGTGACTTTCTACTGTGTTAACTCTTTTTTTAAAAGAGTGATTAAAGCCATGCTTTCCATACCATAGCTTGAGACAATTATCTTAATTCCTTCCTAAGGAATTGAAAAGGCAATGAAAATTGGTACTAAGATAGAAAATCCAATTTTGTGATCCATCAGTTTTTGAAGGAAAATTTTGGTTTGCAACTTTAATTTACATCATTTTCTACATTTGTTTTTTATATTTTATCAAAATTAACATTTATTGCAAAAGATAAAATGACTTAAAGGAAGCAGCTGTTTACAATATATAATCTCATAATAAAGTATTAGTATAACAGAACTCAACTACTGCAAACATGTTCTAACATGGCTCTGACACATCTCAACAAAACTACTGAGGAAAGCAACCATGCCCAGCTACCAATAGTTTACATATGATTTTAATTCACTAAGATACACTGAATCATTTTATTTAGATGGAAATTAATTTTCTTTGTCACATATTAATAGCTATTCTATATAGTCACATATGCTTTATACATATATATAAACACATACACATATAGTCTTCCATGCATGAAACCACTAAAGGGAATTTTATTAAATTTAGTTTTTAAAAATACACTCACTTTGGTGGAAATATGAGTACAAGAAGAAAATGTGTTTGACTTATCAGTTTTGTAATTTTTTAGCATTCAATAGTTATTTTAAATGTCTATAACTATTTTAAATACATTAATATTTTATAATTTAATAAACCTACATGTCTCTTCCAAGTTCCTAGTGCTTCCTCATGCTCATTCTGAAGATTAAGGAACTTTTCTTCATTTTCTTTTACCTTCTCCCTTTGCAGCTCATTATCTCTTTCAAGGGTCTGCAATAAAATTAATTATCCAAAAAATAATCAATACCACATTAATGAATTTTGATGTGTTTTATGTTACTCAGACCTTTGCGTGGAACATGCTGAAAGTGCCATACAGATCAGTGATAATGTGCTACCTCGACAATAATTTTCATAAATTAACAGAAAGGTGCTTAGAGTTTAGCTAACAGGAAATAGGGGGAGGCTATGATGAAGAAACGGCTATAAAAGGGTATAAAAACATTGCCATTATTCAGTTTCACTGCATAAGTTTTAATGTACTGAAAAAGTAATATAAAGTACAGCATTGAAAAGCATGAAATGTAGCATAATCCAACCTAATCTACTAAAAATTTTAACTACCAGAAGACTTTTTACCTGTTTATTTTAGAAATTAACTGGCTAGAAACCCTTAAAAAACAATTCTAATTTCAACTTAATACTTTTTAGCCTAACTTATTTAACACATCACTTAGTTACTTCATTGAACTAATGTAATAGAATTACCCTATCCTGTTCTCTCAAAAAAACAAAAATTAATATATATATTTGTATATATATATATATGTATATATAATGTAAATGAAACAAAGAATAAAAGGTTTTTTTAAAAAATTAAAAATAATAAAAAAATATTGTCACGTGCCTATCACTAATATTAATAGGTCTCTTTACCATCTGTAATTTAAGAAAACTGAAAATAGTATCTATATTATCTAATGCATTTAGAATTTTAAGTTCATCTATTTATCATTCATAAAGCTATGTATACTCGGTAAAAATTTCCAGCTACACAAAACAATATAAAAGGGAAAGATGGAAGCGGTCTCTCTGAGTTCTCCTCTCTAAAGTCAGCACTTTACAAGTTTCTGTAGTCAGAGGTTCTCATAGCAGGAAAAGTGGACAAAACATCTTTACACATAGTTGAAAACCCTATCACACATCCTTACTGCTCTGCAATGTGCTTTTCTTAGATGCAAACTATCTCCGGTTTACCTCCCATACTACTAAATGCAAATCCATCTCACTTGAAAGTCTTAAGAACATTCCATTTAAACAGTTCTCAGTATTATCTGGAACATCAGTGTGTAAATATGTCTGTGAAATTATGACAACACATCTAATAAAAAACATTTTGCAATTTGTGACAAGAACACTCTTCTCTGTCCCACTAGAAGCAATGCACTTTGAAACACTTAAATGAACACCTATTTAGATTACTCTATTTCAGGATAATGTGAACATTTTCACATAATACATACTTCCTTAATTCACAGTTACATATAATAATAATAGGTAGTTTCTAAATATTTAGTGTTGAATAATTAATAGGTGCTTAGCATTTTAGCATTCTGGTAAATATTTTTACAGTATCTATTTATATGGACAGCATACTCTATTTAGAAAGTAGTTCAATGTTTAGGAAAGAGATGAGAGAACATACCACAATCTCTATTCTAGGAACAATAAATGACCAATAGTGTCATGTTCTTAAAACAGTGCATATTAGGTGTGTCAAACAGTGAGGATCCCCTCCTCTCCTTCAGTCTCCTGTTTCCTAGATCCCATGGTCCCCTCTTGATTTCCTTTTCTGGGTAGAGCAAACCACTGTCATGATGTAGCAGGCATAGATGGTAATTGTTTCTGGGATCCTCCTTATCTACTAGAAACTGTATTAGCTGAGTGCAGAACAACTCTGCTTTGGAGATTTCTTCCCAACTTCTGCAGACACAGCTATATTTTTTTTTTACTGTCCAGTTTTGCCAATGAGATAGCTAAGGCAAATGTTTTATTTTCATTCTTAATTCTTTGCATTCCATACTTTTCTGCAGTTCTAGGATCATCTCTTTATATGTAATGTATATTTTACAATGATACACAAATATTAGGCAAAATGAACTCATACTCTGCAGGCCTGTGAAACTTTTTGTATTCATTCTTTCTCCTTCTATTTTCATGGTTCTCTTTTTTTCTGAAACATACCATACTCCTTAGACTGACTCCCAAACTCTTTTCCTCTCATTTACACCTTCTTACCTTGTGTGTATATGTGTGTATGCACAGGGAGACCAGAGGTTCACTTCAGGTGTTACCATTCCTCAGGAGCTTTTCTGAAATAGCATCTCTCATTAAACTGGAGCACCAACCAGGCAGGGTGACCTGGCTCACCAGCCAGTAAACCCCTGTCTGCTTCCCAGCCATGGGGAGCACACACCACCATGGCTGGTTTTTTTGTTTGTTTTGTTATGTTTTTCAAGACAGGGTTTCTCTGTGTAGTCCTGGCTGTCCAGGAACTGTCTCTGTAGACCAGGCTAGCCTTGAACTCACAGAGATCTGCCTGCTTCTGCATGCACCACCACTGCCCAGCTCAGAGCTTCTGGATTTTTAATGGGTGCTGGGAATTTAACTCAGGTCACTTGGCTACTTCTCAGGGTTTTTTTTGAAGATATATTTATTTATTATATATACAGTATTCTGTCTGCATGTACTCCTGCAGTCCAGAAGAAGGCACCCGATCTCATCCATGTGGTTGCTGGGAATTGAACTCAGGACCTCTGGAAGAACAGGCAGTACATTTAACCCCTGAGCCATCTTTCCAGCCTGATACTTCCCAGTTTTATCCATGCATCTGCTGATTCTACTTCTAAACAACTATCTCAACATAATCTAACAATCTTTCTATTGCATTTATATTTTTACTAGTGTTTCTCATGTTATGTTTATGAATTTCTAATTCTTGTCCTGTGGGTTAGTATTTTTCCTATAAGCAGTTTTACATGTTTTTTAGACTCCTATTTTTGTCTGGTTGTCACATGAGATACTTTCTGCAAGTATCCAGTAATCCTTAATAAATCTACTCATACTTAAGAATGAGGTATTTAAAAGATCTTCAAAAGTTTGTCAAACACTGGACTTCACTGTAGGGAGTTCTGGCTGAACTATTTCTTTGGGAACACATAACTGAAGCAACCACGGTCTTCCCTTTTGGCCAACTTAGTTTCCCCAGAAAAGAATCTCCCATTCTTATTCCTGGGAACTAGAATAGTTGTCCTACACTGGCAGGCTAGACTATTGACCTTATTATTATTTTTTCTTTTTTGTTTTTTTTGAGACAGGGTTTCTCTGTATAGCTTTGGAGCCTATCCTGGCACTCGCTCTGGAGACCAGGCTGGCCTCGAACTCACAGAGATCTGCCTGCCTCTGCCTCCCGAGTGCTGGGATTAAAGGCGTGCACCACCAACGCCCCGCCTTATTTTCACTATAATATTTCCAACAGTGTACTGAGAAATAGAGAGAGGAAAGGGAATGGGGAGGAGATATGAAGAAAAGGAGGGGAGAAGAGAGGGGAAAGGAAAGGGAGGAGGGAAAGAGAAGGGGAGAGAGGGGACAGAAAATAGGGGGAAAAGAGAAGGGAAGGGGAGGAGAGTGAGGGGGAAGAGAGAAGAATTAATTTGCAATAGCTGCTATTTCTGCTAGTGACATGGTCAATTTCAGGCCACTGCTATTTTGACAACTAATTTCCCGACTATAAGGGAGCCCCAGCACATACCACACTAGATCCCTGTCAACCTCGGCTTTCTCTCAAACTCTAAGCATACACCTCCAAGCCTATACCAAAGAGGAGAGAACCAGTATATTGAGGTGGAAGGGGGAATGTGAGGTTGCAATGGAGTCTTACACAGGTGTTCTCATCTGGATCTTTCAACTACATATCTCACTTCAAAGGACACAGGATACTACAATTTCTGGCCATTTCTGGATTTAGTTTTGTTTGGTGGTGTAGAGATACAATCCAGTGTCTCACTGTCTTAGGCTTTCTATCCCTGTGAGAAAATACCATGACCAAAACCAACTTGGGGAGGAAATAGTTTATTTTAGCATAAAGTTCCATATCTAAACCCATCATCAAGAGAAATCAGGGCAAGAGCTCAAACAGAACAGGAACCTGGAGGCAGGAGCTGATGCAGAGGCTATGGAGGAGCACTGCTTACTTGCTTGCTCCCCACGGCTTATAAAGCCTGCTTTCTTCCTTTCTTTCTTTTTTTTTGTTTCTTTCTCTTTTTTTGTTTGTTTCTTTCTTTTTTTTTTCAAGACAGGGTTTCACTGTGTAGTGAGCCTGTCCTGGAACTTGCTTTGTAGACCAGGCATGCACTGCCAAGTGAAGCCTGCTTTCTTTTTCTTTTCTTTTTCTTTCTTTCTTTCCTTTTTTTTTTTTTAAAGATTTTTATTTATGTATACAGTCTTCTGCCTGCATGCCAGCAGAGGGCACAAGATCTCATTCAAGGTAGTTGTGAGACACTATGTGGCTGCCAGGAATTGAACTCAGGGCCTCTGGAAGAAGAGTCAGTGCTCTTAACCACTGAGCCATCTCTCTAGCCCGAAGTCTGCTTTCTGATAGCACCCAGGACCACCATTCCAGGGAATAGCACTTCCCACATCAATCAAGAAAATGCACTACAGGCTTACCCACAGGCCAATGTAGTGGAGGCATTTTTCTCAGTTGAGGTTCCCTTGTCCAAAATGAGTCTAGTTTATATCAGGCTGACATAAAACTCATAATGCTAGGCAAGGACCCTACCACTCAACTACATCCCAGGCCTCATTTCCATGACTTTGAATTAGTTTTCTATTTCCTGTTTCTACTAACTGTAAATCTAGTTTACTTTTAAAACTTAGTCTTTTATGTTTCTTCCATCATCTCCATGTCCTTGTGGATTAATTGCCATTATATAACAGTTTACAAGGCATCAGAAGTGAATGTAGGTTTAATTAATCGTCTTCAGCTGAAGTCCTAACCAGGTAGTTTCTGACTTAGGAAAAGCCTGAGTTTATTCATGGGATAGCACTTATTCATTTAATAGCATTTAGTAAGGTCCTATTGCATGCTTGACACTATCTCATGCACTTAATGATCTTTCAGTTACAATGCTGCTGTCTTCATAGAGTTTACACTCTACCATGAAAATAAACTTGTACATATAAACACACATGAAAATCTGTTATTATTTCCAACTGATTTAACAAATCATCTGTGAAAAAAAGGATACAGTCAGAGGTCACGCTGAAATCATTTGTTAAATGCTTTAATCTTCAAAAAACAGTAAATTGCCCCTAGTTAATGCATTAATAATACAATAACTTCAGGAATAAAATATGAAAATTACTCTTAATATTATGACTAAAGGAATATAACTAAACTTACAACTAGAATTTAGATATCTATGATCTTTCTAAATTTACAACTAAAAACGTAAGACAGATGACAATATAACTGCAGAGCACTGAAAACCAGTCAGCCATTATTAAGAGCAATGATCCCTTTTAGTACAGGTGGAATTAGAATGCTCCTCAAGAAAACATTTGCCATATCTAAGCAATGTAATCCTTAGCAAGAGCTCAGCATTAATATTTTGTTATGCTATATATCAGTGGTTCTTAGACATCAGTCTGCAGCTAAGCACTGATCCATGACAAACTTCTCTCATCCACGGCCAAATGTGATTGCATGACTTTTCTTATAATGATGTGTCCTTTATCCCAAGATTATCTTTAAAATAATATATTTTAAAGTGTTCTGTTTTATAAAACAATGGTGATGGTGGATGATGATGTTTGCATTCTTAGTGGGCCACTTGACAATATTTTGAAATGTACTATGACATTATATAGCTTTCTATATGATATCAAGAGACAGGTAATAATTGTAATAATTAAAGAGAAAGGAATTTGAATATTTAACATATTGGTAAACACAGTTAAAAGATCCTAGGGCCACACTTACAGACTTGGTTATTAGCTCAAAGCAATGACCACTATAAATACCACAAAATTTTAGTATAATTTTTGTACAACCAATTTAACAAATTTCCTTGGTTTATTTTATATCACTGTGAAAAATACCATGATCAAAGGTAAGAGTTTATTGGGTTTACAAGTTAGAGTAGATATCATCAAGGGAAGCCATGGCAGGAACTTGGAAGCAAGAACTGAAGCCAGGAACTGCAGTAGAGGCCATGGAGGGACACTGCTTGCTCTCCACTCTGCACAGCTTGCTCAGTTGGTTTTCTAATACAACTCAGGACCAACCACATTAAACTGCCCCACAACCACATCAATCACTAATCAAGCAAATGTTCCACAGACATGTTCATGGCTAATCTCATGGAGGCAATTCCTCAAGGGATGTTTCCTCTTCCCAGACTACTTTCATTCATATCAAGTTGAAAAAAAAAAAACCACAAATTTAATAGCTCTTATGCTTCTATAAAAATATGTTGAAGCCGGTCTATGGTGGTGCACACCTTTAATCCTAGCACTTGGTAGGTAGAAGGAGGGAGATCTCTGTGAGTTCGAGGCCAGCCTGGTCTACAAAGCTACACAGGGAAACCCTGTCTCTAAAAATAAAAATTTTTTAAAAAATTGAACATACAACACTGAGAAATAGTGCTGGATTGGAACCATAGCAAAGCTGTAATAGTTTTTTTCCCACAATTTACAAGGCCCCAAACAATACTGCTTACATTTTCTGGGTTTCTATTCCATCATAGAATAAATTAGCTAACCTCTAATACTTGGCTCACCCCTAAAACTATGTTTAAACTCCTTTACATGGATTACCAGATGACCTTGGTAACAGCTACTCATAATGAATTTGAGTCAAACATGGTGGTACATGCCTATAAACCTAGCATTCTTCTGGCTGTGGTAAACCTGGGCTACAAAGTGATACCGTATCTCCATAAAATAAATCATATGCTCTTGGGAGAAGGTGTGAAGAGGCTCCTGCTTGTAAAAGTTGTTTTCTACTTGTCTTTTATAAGGATAAGTGAAAAGGTTAAGGGAATGAATAGCTTAATTCTAACAGTCCACTTTTCTCCCTCTGTATCTTTGACATTTTAATTCCTATATAACAGAAGACAGGCAGAACCCTTTATATGATAAGCCAGAGGGCATCAATGGCAAGGAGATTAATTACTTTGCTCTGCTTAAGTTTAGTTCTATTCAATAATGATGGACTAACAAAATTTGTGTGGCCTGGTACAAAACAAAAAGGCAGAGTAAACATGTTATCAGAGGCATTAAAATATGAAAAATTTCCTTTCTCTCTCTCTCTCTCTCTCTCTCTCTCTCTCTCTCTCTCTCTCTCTCTCTCTCTGTCTTTCTGCTACAGGACATTTCATTTTCTATTTAATAGCATGGTTCTCTGGGCAAGGGAAAAATCACAGCACAAATGAAGTCCCTCACAGATGCCTAAAAGCTTCATGACAACTCAGCATGAGCAAGAGCCACTAGCTTCTGGACCCCACCTCTTCCTGTCACCTGCTTCACGAACCATGCATCACATTCTAGCCAGAAAAGGAAGCAATCTTTCCTTTCTGTGGGCTCTTTATATAAACCCATGGCAGAGGGTAACTGCTGCAAGATCAAAGTGCTAGGCAGGTATTCATTCAGCACTAAACTGGATACTCACTCTGCCCATGACAAGGTGCTGCCGACCTGAACCAGGAAGAGCTGCTGCCATGCCTCCCCAGAGTACTGCAAGGTACATGTACCCACATCAAACCTCTTCTACTGCACCTAGGCATTCAGTAAAAAGTAAGGCTTTCCAAAACAAATGAAAGATGCAGGGAATGGGTGGTTAGGCAAGGGACCAGGGCACCAGAAGACAGAAGAATCAGCAGCCAAGAACCAAGACTGAGAGACAACAGAAACAAGAAGATGCCTGTTGAGGCTCCGAACTTCCAACACATAACATACTTCCATGTACCAAGAGACTTAATTTACAAAACATAAATTCAAAAGATAAATATTCATTAAAAACTTCAAGACAATGAGTTCAAAATTAAACAGAAGGAAGACACTTGTAAGTGCAATTCCCTCTGTAACCACTCAATTAGGGCTCACTTATGAAGTTAGCCCTAAATCTCTATGATAACTGTCCCTACAGGGGAGATGACTATAGTTGTCATAGGAAATGTTCCAATTTACTGTTTCATAGGCTGCTAAGAGAGCCCCCTCAGAAGGGTGTAAACAGCTTGTATTGAGCATCCCATTTGAACATGCCCCAGCTCCTTGTGAGATAATTGAATGGTCATCTCATCACTTGGCACAGTTAAACCCAGGCATGTTCCCGTCCTTCACTCATCCCTATGTTCCTTCATGTGAGCACAAAACCAACAAAGTTCTCTTGTTCACCTTTCTAAGGCCACATTCTACTAGAACACAATACATGCCAACCCTCTCAGACACAGATTACTCCCAAACTTTGAAAGTCTTTTAAATTTCTAGATCAGACCTGGGCATCACTCTTGTTCTTGGTAAATTTCCACATGAATTGACTTCGCATTACTCTACAGGTAACAGTGGGGGGGGGACCCCCGTTATTTATGGTACCTCAAGCACCCAGCCAGGGAATAAGAAAGTAGCCTCCCACTTCTTGTCTCACGATGAATCTTCCTTGCAGACACCTTATTTAACTGGATCCTCCATGAAAGAGGGAGGCAAGAGAGAAGCCTCTTCTTTTGGAGTATAAAGTCCAAAATATTAGTAACCCTATGTCTTTCCCTTCCAATCATGTTCTACCTCCTGTGAAGATGATGTTGGGATGACTAGCTAACAATGGTAGTTTGATCATACTCTGATAAAGACAGGCCTCCAGATTCTGAGACTTGGTTCTTCTAAAACGTGACTGACACTTTTTCCTTTCAATCTTTGATTTTGACCTTGGCCACAATTCTAAAACAAAGAAAATTTCCACTTACTCCATTACAAAATAAAGTCATTAGTAAATTGGGCATGGTGGCACACACCTTTAATCCTAGCACTAAAAACAGAGGCAGATGGATCTCTCTGAGTTCGTGGCCAGTCTGTTCTACAGTGAGTTCCAGGGCAGACAGGACTATATTAGAAAGACCCTGTCTCAAAAAATCAAGTCAAAATATTTGATAAAATTTAACATTTAACTAGTTACTCAAATGTTAAGAATATATTTATTACTTTAGACACTGATATAGAAAACTGATGAAAGAATCTAGCATCATACATTTTAAAATCAAATGAGAGAACAAGATACTTAAATGCAACTAAACAGGGAGTAAAATATATTTAAACAATATATACATAACCTGAGTATTTTCTCTCATCACCTTCAATTCTGCATTGACTTCAGTATTAGCTTGAGTTTGTTGCTGAAGTAATTGCTGCATATGTTGAAAAGAAACGATGATATCCTTCAAAAACATAAAAATAGATCATGTTTCTAAGTTCATTATCCAGATACATATGTAGGGGTTTTTTTGTTTGTTTGTTTGTTCATTTGGGATTTTTGTTTTGTTTTGAAACAGGGTTTCTCTGTGTAACAGAGCCCTGGCTGTCCTGGAACTCACTTTGTAGACCAGCCTGACCTCAAACTTACAAAGATCCACTTGCCTCTGCCTCCTAAGTGCTAGAGTTAAAGGTGTGCACTACCATTGCCCAGCACATTTGTAGTTTTTAAAAATTAATGTATTTAAATTCATTTTATGTGCATTAGTGTGAAGGTATCAGATCCCTGGAACTGGAGTTACATACAGACAGTTGTGAGCTGCCATGTGGGTATTGGGAATTGAACCTGGGTCCTCTGGAAGAGCAGTCAGTGCTCTTAACTGCTGAGCTATCTCTCCAGACCCCCACATTTCTAGTTTTAAAGGTACTATTGTTACAGCTTAATTTTGATACTTTAATATTAAGCTAATAGCACATCTCTAATTTACTATCTAAAATAACTACTGCTATAAAAATTCGATTAAGTATTATTTCTAAAAGTCCCCTAACATTTAAAGTAAGTTTTTGAAATGGACCACAAATTCTAACACATTACTGAACAAGGTAAAGAATTAAAAAATAAAATAAACTTGTTGCCTTGCTCGCCTACAGATACAGGAATATATCCCTAGTAAGATTTCACATGAACTATAATATTATAAAATGATTCTGTAGCTTAGAGTGTCACCAATCAAATGAAGGTAAACCAAGGAAAAGAAATGACAAAACAGAAGAAGAGGGGCTAGAGAGAAAGCACAGCAGTTTAGAGCACTAAACTGTTGTCTTTGCAGAGGACCCAGGTTCAATTTCTAGCACCTACATGGTGGCTCACAACCATCTGTATCTCTAATTCCAAGGGATCCAATGCCCTATTCTGGCCTCTGTAGGCACCAGGCACACACATGGTGCATATATGTATATGCAGGCAAACATTCATACACATAAGATAAATCTAAAAAAATTAAAATAACTGTAGTTTTCCCAAACTACTTTTTAAACACAAGAATAGATTGAAATAAGAAATTATTCTAAAATCATACATGGTATATAAGTACATTTTCAGTAATTGTTTGCTAAGGTACCTCTGATCTAGCAAATAATAAAACTACTTCTGAAAAATGAAAATTTAGCTAGGAAATATACAGCTGATGCCTGTAACCTCAGCACTTGGGAGACTGAGACAGGAGGACTGCCAATGAGTTTGAAGCCAGTATGGGCTATATAGTCAGCTTCAGTCCATCCTATACTACAACATAAGAACCTAACTCAAGAAGGAGAAGGAGGAGGAGGAAGAGGAGGAGGAGGAGGAAGAGGAGAGGAGAGGAGAGGAGGAGGAGGAGGAGGAAGAGGAGAAGAGGAAGAGGAGAAAAACATAGGGCTGGAAAAATGGCCCAGCAATTAAGAGTGCTTACTGCACAATCTTGAGGACCAGACTTGGTCTCCAGCATCCACTTAACAAGTCAGGCATCCTACAAGCATCTGTAACTCCACCTTGGAAGGACTGAAGAGTTCTGGTCTCTGAATATACAGATATATGTTTTCACATGTGAGCACATACAAGTGCACACACTAAGACATACACACACACACACACACACACACACACACACACGCACGCACGCACGCACGCACGCACGCACGCACGCACGCACGCACGCACGCACGCACGCGCACGCGCACGCGCACACGCACGCACACACACTAAATGCAAAGGTATATGCCTTTAAACACAGGAGGCAAAAGCAGATGGATTTCTCTGAGTTTAAGGTCAAGCCTGATCTACATAGCCAATTCCAAGACAACTAGGGTTACCTAGTGAAATCCTGTCTCAAGTAAAGAAATGAATAAAGTATTTTTAATAACAAAAATTGGAAGTATAAATTCAGTTGGCTAAATCATATAAATATGTCCACTCGGTACATGTTAGTTATGCCTGCTTCACACCAAGGCAAATATCATCCCATATCTGCTTCCCATCTTGCTACTGGTTGTTGAAACATTAACTGACTTCCAAAATTGTGAGGATTGCTTACCTGTTTTTCTTCTCGAATGTGGGCAATCTCTTCATTAATTTTCTTATTTAATTCCAATTCCTTCAAAGTTGAAATTTTTAAAGTTATGATGTAAAATTCAGTAAATTGTATATTCAATTCAGTACCCATGTTTGTGTTGAGACATTGGCTCCGGTGAATTAAGAAGCTCAACATAAGCTAGTACAAACATAAACATTAAAACTATAGAGTTTCTCATCTTAAAAGCGATTTAGAGATAGCACCCTGCCATAAAATTACTGATGCTTTATTTGAGTAGGATTAAAATTATTATAGCTGAATTTTGTTGTAAGATTTATTTGCTAATGACAAAAGCCCAACAATTTAAAAAAGGTTCATACCTTAATTTTTACTATGTCTATTAACTTTACAAAGAAAAAATATTTTGTTCAATAATTCTGAAGTTCTCATAAGGTAAGATTCAATTTTATAAACTTGAGTAAATTTAAACAAATACCATGTCAAGTCTTTCTTGAAGCTCTTTATATTTTTGTTCTTTAATTATCAAATCTACACTTTCTTCATCCATCTTATGCTGACATTTGACCTTGGACTTAATCAATTCTGAAGCTACTTTCTTTAGTTCCTTAACAAAGAAACAAAAAGGAAATTCAGTATACATATATTATCAAAGCAAGACGTTTTCATGAGTTTACAAATCTTTAAAATTATACTTTATTTACCAACAGAATTTTTTTACATATAACTTTTATTAAAGTTCTTTTTGGCAAGTTCATAGATGTATATAGAACATATTCTGGTTACTGTCTCATATACCCCATCTCTTATCTCCCTCCCACCTCTGTCAAACCCCTCCTCCTTAAAAGTCCCTTCTTCACAGTCTTTCTGTCTCATCTTTTGACACACTGACTTTTAACTTGTCATTCTGTGTGTTCATGGGCTTTGAACTATACATTGGAGCCTGGTGGGCTCATTTGTGGGCACACAAATGAAGATATTGACTGCCTCTCTCCCAGACTCCACCAGCAGCCCGTATTTTAGACAGAATGTGGTATGATCACACAAGACCCTTCTTGATCCAAGATTGAAGACAATAGGCTTAGTCTTTCACACGCCCAGTACAGGCAACTATAGCTGCTAAGGTCATGATTGAAATGGCTATGTCATGCCCAGAAGATCATATTTTACAACCCTTCTCTAATATCTCCTAACTCTTACATTCTTTTCACCTCCTCATCCACAATGTTTCCTGAGCCTTAAAGGAAATAGTGTAAACGTCCTACTTAGGGCTAAGCCCTCAACCATCACTTATTGTTAGCATCCGGAGCAATGTGTGTCTGTACATTTAATTGCAGTACACTGCAAAGTGACACTTCTCTGAAGCCTGGGCATAGCATTTGTTGGGTCTAGCCCTTGGACTGAGCATCTGGTGGAAAGGATCCCAAGGTGGAGTGTTCAGCATAATTTACTGATCCATCAAAGTCCTTTATGGGAAGAAATGATTGAAAGGCAGAAGCTGACAAATGACTGTGTCCCAAGGAACCCTAACATTCATAGATGAGCTAAGAGGCAAGAGAGAAGGTTGAAAAGTACAGTCAGCTGAGGGAGGAGGAAGCCAAAAATTGTGGCATCCAGGAAGCTCAAACAGCTGCAGCAGAAAACAGGGATGCAACCAAAAGTGGATGCTTCAGCTCTACATGTCACAGCTGCATACAATTACATCTTAATCTAAAAACCATGCTAAAAATCATGAAAATTAGTCTTAGTTAATACACCACTTTTGGGTATGCATACTGCATAAAAGAATGTGAAAATAACCATATGGATCAAGCAGCAGGTCTTTTCTGAGAAAAGCAGGTAGGCAGATTACTGTCAGGCAAAATAAGAACTCTCAGCTTATATTAAATTAATTAAACAAGATTAAAGAGATAGCTCAGCTGTGAAGCTGAATTTAGTTCCCAGCACCCACCCCCATGGCAGCTCACAAACAACCCTAACTCCAATTCCAGGGGATCTAACAGCTTCTTCTGACCTCTTCAGGCACCAGGCATGCACATGGTGCACCTATATACCTGCAGGCAAAACACTTGCACACATAAAAGAAAAATAAATTAAAACAGAAAAACAAGTTTAGACAACAGAAGTAAGACTTGAATAGGGACATGTGTGAAATGAATGCATACCCCCCATTTGACCATCCTTACTCACTTGCCATGTTCTTCAAACACTGCTCTCTGCCCTGTATCACTGATCTCTATGAGAACAAGAAATCCTCTGTCCTCTGGAGCCCAGTAGGGCTAGATCTGTGGGAGGGAGTAGTAGCTCCCTCTCTACAGACCACAATCTGTAGTATCGGCCCTACATCTTCAGGAATTCACAGCTCAACCTGCTGTGTCATAGCTACAGTTCTCTCCAAGTCCCACTGCTCCACTCCCTGTCATTTCAGGTGTGACTGTGGTTGTCATTTTCCCTCCACTTTTATCTGTAGGATGCTTCTACCATCCCTTATTTGTTCTCTTAACTCTGTCAACAATTACACAAACATCCTCCCCATTAAACTCTTCCATTACCAACTCCAATGTGTCATCTGTTTCTTGCTCCAGCTCCATTTAATACAAGTAAAAATTTTAAAGAACATTTAAGGATAGGAGAGGAACAGAAAAACAAGAGCAAGACACAGAGAAAACTAGGAAATAATATTGAATATATAGATGGGTGGAAGAGGGGGGAGGAATCGTGGTTTCATAGCTTAAGACTGGATTTGGCGGGCAAAGAAGTACTGAGTTGTACATTCCTTCTACATCTAATAACTACTTACTATATGTCAAGTGACAACAGTGCTATCTTAAGCTTGTAGCTTAGTAAATTTAGTTTGTTTAAAAGAGTGGAAGAACTCTAGGAAAAAGAATAATGGCTAACTGATTATCTTGCATTAATCCCACCATGAAATGATTAGTGAGGCAGGTTAGAAATGTAGGGAAATTATAAGACTAGGGGAACAGAAAGAAATATCTCATCTAAGATTCTGACAAGCCTCCTGCCAGTTGAAATCAAGAATTCAAACATGATTAATTTTTGCTTATTGCTTTTCTCCTTTCCTAGCTATAAGCTTCCAGGCATCTCAATAGAAACCTCATTTATAGTGAAAGACATGTATTAAGCTTAGGAGCTCCCAGTTTCCCTTTATCAGGGAAACTTTATCAGATATAATCCATCTGAGTCATCTCTGGAGTCACCCTATAATCTTATTTATCAAAAAATAAAGACAAGACATATAAGCAACTGCCATGGCCATGGCAGAGGAGCAGCAGGTGGCAATTTAGGTTTAAGGTCAGCCCACCAGGAGGAAACTCTTTAATGGGTGAATCTCATTTAGGCAATGGCACGGGACTACAGACCCCAAAATGTCTTTTGCTTCTGCTGTGTCTTTGCATGCTTGTTACTGCAATATTCCTCTGGTGTTTAGCATGGTGTGAGTGGATGTGCAGAGATCTCCACTGCCTGTAATAGTAGTGTGTCTATCTCTTGGAAACATCCTGTTCTACTGAGCATTTTTATCTGTGGATTTTCAAAAAGATGACCCCTCCCAACTTTACTGTCTAAATTGATAATAATAATGACAGCCTATACAGAGTTTTGATGAATAAAAATACATAAAAAGATATGTTGTTTCACAGCCAGGGCCTGTGAGTTTCACCTAAGGAGCTGCATAGATTGTAGCTCAAGTTAGTGATTAAGAAAAAACAATTTCGTCCCAGTAGTCCAACTAGTTTAAATTCTCTTAACCTCAATGTTGGGAGATGTGTTCACAAGTTTTGGAGCACATCACAGCTGAGACAAAGCTTTGAAAATAACAAAGTTAGACTTAGAGGCTTTGAGGTGAAAAAACCCAAGAAGATAATCTAAAGTTTTAGAAAGGAATACTGTTGAATGTGGAACTCATTAAGGTCAAGGAACAAGAACAAAGCAGTCCAATGATCATTGGCTGATGTACCATTCTTGCTAGGATTGGTTGATGATCAGAGGTGATAATTAATTCCTTATACCCATTAATGAATAGGTATGTACCCTAAAGATTTAAAGTAGAGCTGACTGATTCTTTTTCATATATAAAAGTTTAGGTTTGTGATTCCTTTAAGATTCCTTGTAAAATTACCTTTCAAGATGAGTAATAAAGTAATCGGCCCTTTCTTTGTAACTACAAAATGTAGCCTGCCAGTATAAGATCTAACTAAGAAGAATACCTTGCTTGCCCACACAGTTAATCTATAACAAGTTGCTTGGGTATGAATATATGTGGGTTCATGGGATAATTTGTTTTTCACCTGTAATATATAAAATGTTTAATCATGTAAGGGAGATGAAAAACATGTTTTTATCTGTATTCATTATAATCATTCACTTGAAAAACAGAATGTAACCACATTGTAATTCCTATATTGCCTGAAAAACTTTGTTGGGATATATATGCTGGAGGGAAAAAAGTATACAGTAGAAAGAACACAGAAAGAACATGAGAGAACAGAGAATAAAGAAGGAAGCCATCAATAGAGTGTGTGAATGCCCTTTTCCCTAAACCCCCTCAGCTTATACCAGCTCTGAGAATTACTCTCAAAGCCCTGTGCTGCTGGAGGCTGGTCCCCAAGACAGGTAAGCAACCTTTCAAGATGTGACTTGATTGCCAAAATTATATACATGGCTAATGGTAAAATACTGAATTGAGAAGCCCATACCCACACTTGGGCATGTCTTTTTCTCTCTGGAGACCCCCATGTTTAGAATCTATGTTTAAAAATATTTTGAATAAACTGTGACTCTTTTATAGGTCCCTAGAAGAAATCACCAATCCTGATCCATAGTTGTTAAACTCTTCTAAAAATGTTCTTTTTACCTTTTTTCAAAGTAGAAAAGATGATACATGATAATTTCCCCAGAATGGAGTTTTAGGTAATCCAGTGATAATTTTTAGATTTTGAATAAATTGTGGCTCTTCTTTGAGAAGCCCTAAGTACTTGGGTGTGCTTTCCCTGGGTACATTTCTTATTGTTTTTTTAATAAACTCCAAATCCTCTTCATAGTGACACGTCTTGAAATTCCTTTTATGTGTTGAATCCAAGGGTCTGGTTTTATCTGAACTGAGGTCCCTAAAAGACTAAGGGAACTTCTCAGGATAGTGCAGGAAAGAAATGAAGCTGTGTCTCTCTCTATTCTTGCTGCCACTGGTGTCTATATATTTAAAAAAAACAATATAAAATACAAGACACTCTGAAGGAAGATGTAATAGACTGAAGAAAAAATAAAGGAAACAGATCAATCAAAGATGATTCCAGAGTAAGTAGGTAAGGCTAGAAGAAATGACAAGGGGGACCATGAAATGTAAAAGGAGCATAAAAATGGAAAGGAAATGAGAAGTCTGCTTTACTGCTGAAAAACATGGTGTACATATGAGAAAAACATGGTGTACATATGAGAAAAACATGGTGTACATATGAACTGTTTAAGAGAAGGGATAGACAATGTATGGACAGACACTTAAAGCCAAGGCAGAAATCAACAATCCTGATCCATAGCCACTAACTCTTCTAAGAAATGTTCCTTTTACATTTTTTCAAAGTATAAAAGATG